AAGTTGACCTGTGTAATTCAGAAGTTTCTCTAAGTCTTCATTTGATGTATTTGTTAAATAAACTCATTGTCACTTTCCTAAAAATCATTTCCGAAGAGTTTTTTTATTTACAAGTTTTTCAGGAATCTCAAAGAAAAGGTCATGTTTTTAATAAGTTTTTTGTGTTTCCAGGTGATTTGGGGAAAATGAGCAGTTACAAGCCCTGTGTAAAAGTCTGGAATCAGCAGTCTCTGATCAGCACTCATTCAGACATTTCATTCTGTAAAACAAACTCTGATCAAAAACATGAGACAATAATAAGGTCATTCCAAAGGTCAACTTGTTGGCTTTCAGGAACACTCAAAGAAATGAAGAGAAAACATTGTGGAAGTCAGTGAATGTTACTTTTATTGACTTATGACCCTGTCCAGAGTTAAGCCCACCTGTCACAGTCACTGCTGGACACGGGCAGCAGTGACTGTGGAGAGTCACTGCTGCCCAAAGGAGAACATCTGTCCATCAGGTCTGGTTGTGTGGCTGGATGATGATCTGAATGATCAGAAACACTGTTGGTTCAACAAGTTGTCTCCAGGCTGCCAGCGGCTGTAGGTTCATGTCTCTGAGGTCAACAGGTGTCATCAGGTGTCTCTGTGTGAAAATGCTTCATATCTGTCATGTTCTTCACATTCTTCCCAAACTGGCTTTCTCCTGAACTCTGCATCCTCTGACTGTCCATCATGGGTTTTCAGTCAGCACCTCTCAGGAAGTACCACGGTACATTATGGGATTATTAAATGGGATTAATCTGCTGGCTGGGCTCAGTGGCACAGCTGGTCCCAGTTCAGCTGACATCATCTGTAACTGAACTGTTCCAGTTAGGTCGAAACTTTTCTCAAAGTTTTTCAAAAACATTCTAATACATGTTTATTTTTATATACTGACTACATTAGAGGCTTAAATCCATTAAACTGTTTCCCATTATTAAACTTTGCTTGTTTTTCTGCAGCAGACAAACTCAGATCCTGTGCTGCTCTCCACTGGCTTCATGTTTAATGGTTTGTACACCAGCTTCCATGCACATGTAAGGAAATATGAAAATGACATGAGAGTCTGCTTCAAAATAAACCAAAAAGGCTTTACCTCTGATAAATTATGTTCTGCTGTGCAACACTGGCATCTTCTGGTTGTATCTTTAGTTTGCTTGCTTCCATTGCAGTTTAAGACATGAAGTAAATCTTAATTTTATTTTGAAAGATTGAGCTCATATTTAACTGTAGTAGTTTCTGATGTTTCCGGCACCAGATCTGTGGGATTCTGGGCCAGCAGCAAGTTCTACACAGGCTGAAGAGCACTTTGTAGCTGCAATACTGAATCACAGAGAGGAGACAGTGGTTAGTGTGTTGTCCATGCCAGAGCTCATTATTCTGAGCTGCATTTTCAAAACAAAACAAAAAACATAAATATACACATATATATAAATACTATTCATACATGAATACAGTAAAAAAAATGCACTTAAGAAAGAAAAATAAAATTGGCACAAATAAAATCGGGAAATGAACTTTTCTTTCTTAAACAGAAAAAATATTTACAAAAAAGAATCAGATCAACCCTACATCACCATGTGTATCATATTTGATACGCAGGATTCTGTCACCTATATTTTATCAATGTGATCAATATTTTCCTCAAAAACCTGTTGTATATCATGTGAGACCTGTATTCTGCCCTCTGGTGGATCATCAATGTACTGCAGGAAGTGGAACTTCCTGCAGTACATTGATGATCCACCAGAGGGCAGAAAACAGGAAGTGGAACTTTTTTTTTTCCTTTTCAAAATGTCTGCTGACATGAGGTCATCCACACATTTTTTTCAGGAAAACTTTTGCTAATTTTGGAGGAGTTATGATAAGAATAACTTCAGTATTGTTTGTAATTATTTTAAAACAATGCATAATTACTTAAAATATTTTAATAATACAGTTAAACCATGTTAAAAATGTGTGTATCAAACTTTATAATGTAGGTATATAACGTGCTCCAGTCCTGAATTGTCAAGTAACATTTTAGTAATTTTAATAATTTAATCAACAGTATTCTTGCCACAGTACAATACACACTA